GAGCATTCCGTCCCCAAGTACATGTCTGTGGTACATTATGTAGTCAGCATTCCGTCCCCTGGTCCATGTTTGTGCTACATAATGTAGTGAGCATTCCGTCCCCTGGTCCATGTCTGTGGTACATTATGTAGTGAGCATTCCGTCGTCTGGTCCATGTCTGTGCTACATTATGTAGTGAGTATTCCGTCCCCTGGTCCATGTCTGTGCTACATAATGTAGTGAGCATTCCGTCCCCTGGTCCATGTCTGTGGTACATAATGTAGTGAGCATTCCGTCCCCTGGTCCATGTCTGTGGTACATAATGTAGTGAGCATTCCGTCCCCTGGTCCATGTCTGTGGTACATAATGTAGTGAGCATTCCGTCCCCTGGTCCATGTCTGTGGTACATAATGTAGTCAGCATTCCGTCCCCTGGTCCACGTCTGTGCTACATAATGTAGTGAGCATTCCATCCCCAATTCTATGTCTGTGGTACATAATGTAGTCAGCATTCCGTCCCCTGGTCCATGTCTGTGGTACATACTGTAGTGAGCATTCCGTCGTCTGGTCCATGTCTGTGGTACATAATGTAGTCAGCATTCCGTCGTCTGGTCCATGTCTGTGGTACATAATGAAGTGAGCATTCCGTCCCCAAGTCCATGTCTGTGGTACATAATGTAGTCAGCATTCCATCCCCAACTCCATGTCTGTGCTACATAATGTAGTGAGCATTCCGTCCCCTGGTCCATGTCTGTGGTACATAATGTAGTCAGCATTCCGTCGTCTGGTCCATGTCTGTGGTACATAATGTAGTGAGCATTCCGTCCCCAAGTCCATGTCTTTGCTACATTATGTAGTCAGCATTCCGTCCCCTGGTCCATGTCTGTGCTACATAATGTAGTGAGCATTCCGTCCCCTGGTCCATGTCTGTGCTACATTATGTAGTGAGCATTCCGTCCCCTGGTCCATGTCTGTGCTACATAATGTAGTGAGCATTCCGTCCCCTGGTCCATGTCTGTGCTACATTATGTAGTGAGCATTCCGTCCCCTGGTCCATGTCTGTGTGCTACATAATGTAGTGAGCATTCCGTCCCCTGGTCCATGTCTCTGCTACATTATGTAGTGAGCATTCCGTCCCCTGGTCCATGTCTGTGCTACATAATGTAGTGAGCATTCCGTCCCCTGGTCCATGTCTGTGCTACATAATGTAGTGAGCATTCCGTCCCCTGGTCCATGTCTGTGCTACATAATGTAGTGAGCATTCCGTCCCCTGGTCCATGTCTGTGGTACATAATGTAGTGAGCATTCCGTCGTCTGGTCCATGTCTGTGGTACATAATGTAGTGAGCATTACGTCGTCTGGTACATGTCTGTGCTACATTATGTAGTGAGCATTCCGTCCCCTGGTTCGAGAATGTGGTACATAATGTAGTCAGCATTCCGTCCCCTGGTTCGAGTCTGTGGTACATAATTTAGTGAGCATTCCGTCCCCTGGTCCATGTCTGGTACATAATGTAGTCAGCATTCCGTCGTCTGGTCCATGTCTGTGCTACATAATGTAGTGAGCATTCCGTCCCTTGGTCCCTGTCTAGTACATAATGTAGTGAGCATTCCGTCGTCTGGTCCATGTCTGTGGTACATTATGTAGTGAGCATTCCGTCCCCAAGTCCATGTTTGTGCTACATTATGTAGTGAGCATTCCGTCCTCAAGTCTATGTTTGTGCTACATTATGTAGTGAACATTCGGTCCCCAAGTCCATGTCTGTGGTACATTATGTAGTCAGCATTCCGTCCCCTGGTCCATGTTTGTGCTATATAATGTAGTGAGCATTCCGTCCCCTGGCCCATGTCTGTGCTACATAATGTAGTGAGTTTTTCGTCCCCTGGTTCATGTCTGTGGTACATAATGTAGTGAGCATTCCGTCCCCTATTTTCAAATGGATTCACGCATTGTACCCATGTGGGAAATCAAAGCCGGGTCTTCGTCGTGACGAGCGAACGCTTTGACCAGAAGCCAACCCACCGACCCCAGCCGTGTATTGCCAAAATGTATGTTACAAGCAATCACTTAAATTAAGACGAGTATTTATTTCCCTGAAATGGTCGTAAGCAGTTTACATATTTACTTGAGGTATTGGGGACATGATAGCCGATGAGTTGCCTCCCTTAACTGTCAGGATCCGCTTAAGATAATTCGAATCCGGATCATTATGTTATCGGGTTTCACCAAACGTCCATGATCTGTATCACGTTTATTACAATTCCCTGCCCCATGAGGAGAATCCTGCATTGACGATGCCCCGATGTTGCATGGGTGTGTGAGATGGGTTTGACGGCACACGGAGCAGCATTTCATTCAGATGACCAGAATCAGGTGAGGCACAACCCAACGTGATGCAGTTCGTAAACGTTGGCCACTTTGTTGAAACCCAAAGCAATGGTTTGATGCTGATATACCAAGAATCATAATGTTGGATTCAAACCCGTACCAGTGGCACGGCAAGGGGGCGCAACAATGGACAATGAAGTACAGCAAGTCACACCACTTGGCCACCCATATTGAATTGCCTTCCGTCACATTTTTTCTTATTTTGCCTTTTTGTAAATCGTTCCACGACAGGGTATGTTGAAACCCGCAGGGATTGCGGGACAAAACTGGTAACTCAGAAACAAATGCTCGCTCATTGACATGCCGCCACGATATACCTGGATTCAGGCTCACTTTGGCGTAAAACAGCATTCACTCACTCGCTTGATAAAGTAGATCTCATGTTGAAATGGTCCTGGGTAGAATAGGTCTTCAGCAACCCATGCTTGCTGTGAAAGGCAACGACGCCTGTCGTTATGGAGGCCTCTAACGGGATCGGGTGCATGGTCAGGGCCGCTGACTTGGTTGATGCATGTCATCGTATCCCAATTGCGTGGATCGATGCTCATGATGTCAATTACTGGATTGTGTGGTCCAGACTCGATTATTTACAGACCGCCGTTATAAAGCTTGAATATTGCTGAGTGCGGCGTTAAACAACAACAAACATGTTGAAATATACATCAAGATGTCTGACAGGTAAGTGCACATTTATTTCTACTCAAATGATTAAAAAAACTGGTAGTTGTTCACAAAATAAGCCTTCTCTGTCAGCGCCTAGATGTATACATGATTACATCATGGCAAGACGCTCCTTGCTTCATTCCTCACACCGACTGTTGTAGCGCAGCGACAGAGTCATTTTATGACCTTATGCTGTAAGTGCGTCTTTGCAGCGCTGTCGCCGCGCTGAACAAGGCTTTGGCGTCATTTGGAGATTTTACGAGCGCGTAGATATCATCGCCTTGTAACTTCAGCACTCCCCCAATCCGCTCTGAGTGATGTCCCTTGTACTGTGGAATGGTTGGTTGGTTCGTTCGTTGTTTAACGCCGCACTCAGCAATACTCCAGCCAAATGACGGCTGTCTGTAAATAATCGAGTCTGGACCAGACAATCCAGTGATTAATATCATGAGCATCGATCCACGCAATTGGGATCAATGACATGCATCAACCAAGTCAGCGAGCCTGACCACCCGATCCCGTTAGTCGCCTTTTACGACAAGCATAGTCACCTTTTACGGCAAGCATGGGTTGCTGAAGACCTTTTCTTCCCCGGAATCTTCACGGGTAACTGTGAAATGGAATCTGTTTAAAAGTTTATAGATTTACACAACTGTAAGACATTCTGTGAGATTCATTGTCTGCAAAAGTTCTGACAATATATGCACATATAACCTGTATCATTGCTACCAGCTATGTCACGATTCTTCATACATCGATGACACACTTCGTGAACAGCCTGGTTAGAATTAGTCTTCAGCAACCCATGCTTGTCCTAAGAGGCGACTAACGAGATCGGGTGGTCAGGCTCGCTGACGTGGTTGATGCATGTCATCGTATCCCAATTGCGTAGATCGATGCTCATGTTGTCAATCATTGGATTGTCTGGTCCAGAATCGATTAGGTACAGGCCGCTGTCATATAGCTGGAATATTGCTGAGAGCGGCTTTAAACAACAAACAAGCAAACAAACATTGATGGCAACATAAAATATCAACAGTTTACATCGATTTAATAACACCGACAGTAGCGATAGATGTATAGATTTAACAACATAAATATATTCATCACATGTTCAATTCGTTTGCACGTGAACAATTGACTTGCCTTTGCATGTGTAAGCGGGCGCCATTTGTGGGACAGGATATGCTCACCATCTCGGGAACACCTGGTATCACTTCTATTTCACAGTGATAACTTTTAATAACGCCTGCTCATGAATCGTATAGCCGACTCTGCTTTTAGCAGATATCTGTATTATTGAAAGGCTTTTGACGCTTTTATTTAGATGTGGCTATTAATATAGATCTAGATGTGGAAATGGATGGAGATAAGGATATGGATGTTGATATGGAAATAGAAGAAGATATGGAAGTGGATATAGTTTGTGATATGAATGTAGATAGTGATATGGATGTATAGATACTGATGTTGATGAGAGAGAGAGAGAGAGAGAGAGAGAGAGAGAGAGAGAGAGAGAGAGAGAGAGAGAGAGAGAGAGAGAGAGACTGACCGTCCGCTCTCTGGACAGATGCTGTATCTACTAGACCAAAGAATGAGAGATGGAGAGAGCTATTGGAGTTATTGCCCAAATGCAATCAGATATCCAATAAACGACAAAACGATGATAGTTTGATAATTTTTATTTGAATTAGTTTAAAAAGCAAATAAATATTAAAAAGGTACGTCACGATACAACGTAGGTAGAGAGAGAGAGAGAGCCACCGAGAGAGAGCGAGAGAGAGAGAGAGAGAGAGAGAGAGAGAGAGAGAGAGAGAGAAAGAGAGAGAGAGAGAGAGAGAGAGAGAGCCACTGACCGTCCGCTCTCTGGACAGTTGCTGTATCCACTAGACCAAGGAATGACAGATGAAGAGAGCTATTGGAGTTATTGCCCAAATGCAATCCGATATCCAATAAACGACAAAACGATGATAGTTTGATAATTTTTATTTGAATTAGTTTAAAAAGCAAATAAATATTAAAAAGGTACGTCACGATACAACGTAGGCCCTGGCTGAGAAATAACATGCAAGGGACGTATCTATCTATGTCATAGCGACAGGTCATAACTCAAAGTAAAGTCATAAAAGGCCACATGTGACAAGAATGTTAGATTGAATAGAAAAATAATAATATTCGTATGACGCCAATAACCTTGCCAAACTAGGCATTTAACTGGGCTTTAGTTCGATTTTACGCTAGTATTCTAGAATACAGCACTACAAGTTGGATGAGATTGAGCTATCACTCTTGCCACATTGTTTAATAAGAAAACATCAGTCGTTCATTTCGTCATTCGTTCATTCTTTCATTCATCTGTTCTGTCAAACACTTGCATTCAAGGTCATTGAGATACCCAAGACACAGCAGATAAATACACGAAGCATTGAGAGGTAGTTGTCTTTTGGGAACACTTCATAGCCTCGTTCGTACAAAATCTTAAAAATAGAATTTCAAATGTAAAAAAACATGATTCTTTTAAAATTAATCAGGTAACCACACATAGAACTGTATTGCATTAACATGAAAACAAACGACAAAATGAGTGTAAACACATTTCGATATTACACAACTATAAAAGTAAATTTGAAATCGATTTGATCACAAATTTTCCAGAATCATGCGCTATGACGAACAATGTCACTTTGTTCAAATAGATGTTATCATAAATGCCTCTTGGAATTGATGAACATATTAAACCAAACTCCGATATGACAACATGTGCAATCATTAATTCAAGTGAACAGAAATGTTTATTTAAAGGCATACTTTCACACCTCACATGCACCAATGACAGTCATTCATTTTTAACAACTTGCCACAGAAAGACAAGTGAGATGAAATATGATAATTAAATAGCTAATTAAAACAACTAGAACGCTGATAGAACACCTCTATAAAGCTGCCGAATCCAGTGGTTTAGTCGATATATGTACAAACTAAACAAGGCACATATACATAGCTAGCTAGCACATATACATTAGATTATTAATATACATATGTATAAAATCGTGTCCATGACTGAGAATGGTTTCAGACTGAGAATCAGTCCATAAGCTATGGGTGATAGTCCTATTCGAAAGAGTATTTAACACGATGTAAATATTCGTGATCACATTGTGATCTTGGAATAAATTTCAACACAAGATACAGACGTTTGATACCAACGATGGAGCTGGTGACACGTTTATCTATGTTGCTTATGATGAGAAAAGACAGCAAGGTGATTTCAAAACGTATGTCATCTTACAAAGTGTCAAAAGACCTAGTATCCATTTACATTGAACGGCAGTGTTAATAATAGTTTACATGTTAAAATAAAACTACAATAAACAAGTATGTCACATCAATTGATAATTCATATGGTGAGTGAGTGAGTATGGTTTAACGCCGCTTTTAGCAATATTCCAGCAATATCACGGCGGGGGACACCAGAAATGGGCTTCACACATTGTACCCATGCCGGGAATCGAACCCGGGTCTGCGGCGTGACGAGCGAACGCTTTAACCACTAGGCTACCCGACCGCCCCGATAATGCATATGGATGCACGTCTATAGAATGTGTGCGTCAAACTAAAAGCCGACGTTTTTTCAACAGTTAAATCTCTGTCAGTATTATACGATTGATCCGTGCCGTGATGACGGTATAATAATCAAACGCGTGTGATGAGTTTGAGTCCGTTGTTATTATTAATCCTAATTTTGCTAGATTTTGTTTTACATGAAATGATTCTCATCTCTCATCCATTCAACATATTATTGTCACAAATTACAATCAGAGTTCAACCTGAAATTGTTCATGTTCATAGCACTCATTGAAACTTCGGACTTCAAATTTGACATATTGGATGGGTCGGGGTGCTGATAAAAAACGATCATTTTATGTTGATTTTAAGTCAATGAGTGTTAAAAACGATACCCCTTTTGTATAGTTCTATTGATTTATTCAGTCCTACACTTCTAACGGATTGCGTCCTTCCTCTTTAGTAGGTTACACAACCTAGATGACACATTCGTGCCAGTCAGGAATAGAGCTTCACACTTAAATGAAAGAGGCGAGTTGTGATTGAGTGCTTGTGTAAGAAAAGGGAGATAACTGCCACACCCTTTCCGTCTTGGAACAGATGTCTAAAATTGAACGTTGATAACATTCTTAGCCTGGAGAGATGAGAACAACACGTACAAAATCCACAGGGTTAACAGGATTGCACCACTAATCCATTTGGTGATCTTCGGACCCCCCAGCTCACCGTTGCCGAACGCCCCCACGAACCGGCGAGTAATGAAGAGTGATATGGCAATGATGGCAGCAATAGTATACAACACCACGCTGAACCCTAGCGAACCGGCAGGAACCACGAACGTCTCGCCCTGTGAAAGGAAAACAGAGTTAGTTAGTTAGTGAGTGAGTATGTGAGTGAGTGAGTGAGTGAGTGAGTGAGTTGGGTTTTGCGCCGATTTTAACAGCATCCCAGTTATATCTTGGCGTGGCAGCGGGAGGAAAGCCCGAAGTGCAATCTCATTAAAATCAGATCTCAGTTCTCGCTACTACTAAAAAAAGATCTGAGGACATCCCATAACGGGTCACGTCAGAACGACCTTTCATCCGACCAATCATTGCGTCGCTTATCAGATCAGGAAACATTCGTGACCAACTCGCGTTATTCCGGGGCAAGCCGAATATCGACTCGTGCCCCTATCATGGCCATTTTTGCGACCGGGTTCCGTCTCAGCGCAAACGGGCATACCTAAACACAATTGTCAACTCGTTGCGTAATGGTTCACATATATTTCCCCATATATCTTATATATATTTCAGATGCGATTTAAAGCACATAGGGACATGCGGAATTATACAGTATGATTGAACACATTTAACTGTGTCTTGGGTATATTTTTAGATGCAAGACATGTAAAAACAAAAATTATTTCTGGGGGATTCTTTGACGAAGAACTTGAAATCATACGCGCATTCTGATTGGTTTGTCGTATTTTAGCACATAACATTCATCGATAGGGGGACGAGTCTTCTTGCAGGTTACGGAAAGGGGCGAGTGGTAACGAATGATCAGGAAAATGACGACCTCGAATAGGTTAACACGGGGTATTCCGAACGACAGTTACGACCTGTACGACTAAAACCGTCAAAATCATCATCTATCTCTTGCTTCAATGGGATAAACATTTGAACGGAGAAGACTTTGCATAGCCCCTGGGAAGTACTGCCATACAATTTAAGCAATCTGTTAGACATGCGGCGATGCTAGAATGTTCGTTTGTCCAGTTTTAAAATTTTGAATCGATAAATTTGTCGAAATATGTTTTCAAAGTTTTGTCTAGAATGGAAGTCGCAAGTTTGAAACTACTGCTGTATAACTCGAGAAAGCTCTCTTCCTAATTGGTTAAGGTCTACTTCTTGTCAGTCATTTCATTGGTCGGTCAAGGTTCGCAAATAGTCGTTCTGATCATATTGTATGTATCATTCATGATACTCATAGCGACTGATTCATATAAAACTTGTGATACCTCACCTTCCTGGGCAAGAGTGTCCTCTAGCCTATTTATCAAAGCCTAGTTTCCACTAGGCTTTACTATAGGCTGGTGAACAAGCTTGCCTCGGGAAGATGGCGATACATATGCTTCACGATACTGAATGAATGAGTATGGTTTTACGCATTTTTCAGCAATATTCCAGCTCTATCACGGAGGGGGACACCAGATATAGGCTTCATATGAAATCTCAAGTTAAACACCGCTTTGAAAAGTATTCCAGTTATATCGCGGCATGTCAGATTGGTGTGGGTGGAAAGCCCAAAGCGGTGTTGGTCTCAGACGTTTACCACTTCGCTGAAACTCATGATCACAGGTTTGGTGCTGACAAACCTAGGAACATAATCGTAGCAAACCGGGATTCGAACCCACGATCATAATTTTCTGTCGCGCGATAGGACGCAACTATGCACAGCGAATTGTTGCGCCTTAAACGACTGAGCCACCATGCCCTTGCACTCTGTAGAGATAAGATGTGTATTTAAACACGCATGCTATTATAGTGACTCACCTTTACAGCCCAGTATATCGTTGCTATGACCCAAGGAAGGCCAAGGCCGAGGAACACGTTGACAGAGTTGCTGCCGTTGACGTTTCCCACAGAGCTATCAGCGTATTTCTCCATTGTGGCTGCCGTCTTACTGGCAAACGTGTCCGGCATACTGGTTCCCAAGGCAACCAACGTGATAGCGGTGATCGTTTTTTCCAGACCAATCAGACAGCCGAATATCGTTGCAAGGTCGCCGATGATGGCGGTCAGAAAGCCGATGACTGCCAAGGAAATGATGAATGTTGGCCATCCTCCAAGGTACTGGGTTGGAGGAACGAAGGCAAACAGGATCTAGATACAAAAGCAAAAAACATAGAGATTTGTGCACTTCTGTCGTAAAAATATAATTACAATTACATTGTAATTCAACCTATAGACCATAGATCCACGACATTGGGACACGATGGTACCCAGTCAGTCAGGTCATCGATATCGAGCCTGGCCACCCGATGTTCTTCAGTTGCCCGTGACGACATGTACGTATACGACACTCTTGGAACCTTTTTTTCTTGGAATCCCCACGGGACAAACTGTACATTGCCGGGCAAAAGAAAGTATACATCCATGTTTCATGGTTGCTACAAATAAACGAAACAAGAAATAGCTTTTCGATGGAAATGTTTTCGATACGGGTATCATAGTTGTGTTTTGGACCTTAAGTTTGCAGATTTTCGTCGACATTTTGATAACGTTTGTGATGTTTTGGTCAAATCCAATTTTCAAGTGTTTACTTTTTTTGCCCGTACGTTTATTTAAGAATTGATTTTGACTTTGTGTGAGTTCATTTGAATATGAACCGACATAGAGTCAGGACCAAACTGTATGATCTTACAATGTTTTGAGTATGGTTGTGAGTGTGGTTTTACGCCGATTTTAGCAATATTCCAGCAATATCACGGCGGGGGACACCAAAAATGGGCTTTGTACCCATGTCAGGAATCGAACCCGGGTCTTCGTCGTGACGAGCGAACGCTTTAACCACTAGGCTACCCGACCGCCCCTCACGCTATGAAGGTTCATACTCTAATGAACTTACACAAAGTGAAAGTCAATTCTTATACTTTATTATCACTATTTTTTACCTAAAAGTATGTGGGCCAAGATCCATACACAATTGGCCGATCATTGAACAGTAAGTATAAGGATGTGTATAATAGACATTAAAGTACAGGAAACTACGGTTACAACGAACACGCTTATAACGAACTGACCGATATAACGAACTTATTTTTTAGTCCCGGCCATTTGATGTATATATGCTGTATATATGCTTATAACGAACTACGGTTATAACGAACTAAAATTAGCGGTCCCTTTGAGTTCGTTATAACCGTAGTTTACTGTAAATTCAAATATTGCTGTAGACTTTCAGTGTCAGTCTGGACACGGATCGAGTCGGTACTACGATAGTTTGGATGCGTATTTCTTCGTTTTGTTTACTTTGGTGGGTCGTAGCGAGGCTATTCGAGGCTATTCGAGGCTATGCAGTCAAACCCTCTGACGTTTTCTCAATGTATTCTAAAACAATGAGTTCAAGATTAAAGGGTCTAAATGATCAGAAACAACGCTTTTGTATGTATTTGTGCAAGGGAATTCCCAGGGGCTCCCCAAGCAATGTGGAATCAGTCCGTCAGGGTTAACGTCATTTCAAGAATACAGCCTCGTGAAAAACGTATACACGTCAAATGGTGTTATTTATACACTTATGACCGTCGGTCGTTTCGAGGTCATGTGACCGACCTCTCGTCCAATGGAAAAGCCGTATATCGTGTAACGTCACATTAAAAAACTACATGATTACGATCATATGAGTATAGCACATTTGAGCATCACACAACGAATCGTCGGTTATCTCCCTTGGTTTACCTTCCAGAAGAAGGTACAGAAGTGCAGAATGTAGTCAATGAAGGTTGCGTTCTCAATATCACCGCCGTTCACGTTCATGGCATCCTTGAACTGGGTGACGTATGTAGATTTCTCCAGCTGCAGATAGTCGAGGTTAGCCTTCGTCAGGCTGACAATACGGCTCACCAAACCATTGAACTCTGAAATACAGACACTCAGAATATACCAACGTTTGGGTCAGCTTGACATGATTGATATCTTGTTCAGGTTGAAGTTTAACCCCGTCTCACCTCGTATGTCAAGAAGGCTGGCAATGTCACTTGAATTCAACATCGATGTAATAAACGTTTTACTATGCATAACTGTATTGCATCGGTCATAACGTCGATTATGAAATACCTTCATCATTGACAATTGTGATGATGCACTTGGTGATCTTGCCCAGCGTGGCACCCCCGTCTGTCTCGAAGAGCTCAATCTGGAAACTTTCATCTCGCTCCGGTTTCTGTGTAACAAGAATGTTGAACTTGTAAAAATACAATTTGCCGAGTGTTATATTTTAAGCTGTCCCCTGTCTCGAGAGTGTCACGAGTTGTTGTACCTTCTATGCTAGTCCATGCTCCCTGAGCCTGGTGGTACACCAACCCATGTCATCCAGGGACCGGTATCTAGCCGCACACCTATTTATATTGCAGGTATGTCTTTTAATTTGTGTGCATACTTTGGTCCGAATCGGGAAGAATACCACAGTATATGTATATGTTTGTATAGTTACATGACTTTACACGAAGTTGTTGGAACGCGAGGCCACGAAACAAATGAGTAAGGTTTTACGCCGCTTTTAGCAACATTCCAGCAATATCCCGTTGGGGAACACCAGAGATTGCCTTCAAACATTCTACCCATGTGGGGAATCAAACTCGGATCTTTGGCGTGACGAACGAACGCTTTGGCCATTAGGCCATCCTGATCTCATAAAGTTCCTCGACCATGGAAGGGAAACTATGTTCCGATGGTACTTGGAATGAGTGCCATGTACCAGACTTTGTCTCTGTGTTATTAGGACCATCATTAACTGTTACGGCCATATGTATTATACATATTCATTAGCAGATAAGGAAATTGGTACGCGTTCGACTTCAAGTTGACCTGAGTCTGGTGGCCCTTTAGATCAGCAATAACTTACGTTGCTCTCAAAGATAGGCAGGTCGATGGTCTTGCTTGTTTCCTGGTTGTCAAATTTCAGCGTTCCCTCTCCTCCCTCATAGTCCTTGTTGTTGAGCGCAGTGATGTCCTTGGTCTTCCACGTGACAGACACGTGACCGTCAGCGCCGTTCTTACGTGATACGGGAATAGAGGCCATGCGAGTACTCTCCTTCACGACGATACTGGGCTTTGCAAACTCCAGCAACCCTGGCTCTGTGGAGAGAAAATATGGTAATATGGTTACATTAAGCGATTGGGTGGTTTCTGCGTTATACACAGCTGAGTGTTTGCCCCAAGTGTCGACCCTAACAATCCAACCACACAACAAGTATGAACACCAGTGATCGATATACTGAGCACCAATTCCGTCGCTAGCAATGAGTGGGTATGGTTTTACGCCGCTTTATTGCTGCAATATGACGGCGGGGGGCACCAGAAAAGGGTTTCACACATTGTAGCTATGTAGGGATTAGAACCGGACCTCCCAGTACCCCAGTAACCGATAGGAACGGCTGGTGTTGTCCTCTCACACTTCATCCAACAACTGAACCACTCAATTCACATTCCAACTCGGGTGTACTACTCGTCCTGGGCATTGTCCATTATGGTATTGTATTGTCTGGAGTATCGTTCACGTTGTTCGATCGCAAACTTGTGTTCATCAACTGTTTCACCATGCTGTATACTTAGATTGCTGAGAATTTAACTGAGTAGGCAGCAGAAATTGATGTGTATATTAACATTTCCATTGAATCGCAGTGATTTATTTTTTAGATATATATAAATGGGATTCATGATTCTGTTTTAAATAACACATATCTAGCTGGTGTGACTGTTATTTCGAGGTCATCCAGGTCCTTTAAAGCGTATTGACGAGAAGAAAATGTTTTGACACAATGCATATTATCCCAACCTTATACTAGAATATAGAGGATGTTTCATGCGTCGAGTGAGAGAAACGTGATATTTCAGACACATTGAATATAACATTTATTGGATACTTTTTCTGTAGTTGTCTTTCGAAAAATTATAATATTCGTTTCCATGACGTCACAATAAAATGACATCACTGAAGCTAGTTAGTTGTAAGGGGCGGTCGGTTGGCCTAATGGTTAAAGCGTTCACTCGTCAGGCCAAAGACCCGGGGCCAAAGACGCCGTGATATTGTAGGAATATTGCTAAAAGCGGCGTAAAATCACTCACTCACTCACCAGTTTAGTTGTACTGTATACACTCACGACACTGGTCCCCGTTCCACAAAGGTGATCGTAGCGCTACGACTGTCGTAAGCCTATGTTAAAGTATGGGAGTTACGATCATCTTAGCGCTACGATCGCTTTGTGGAACAGTGCCCTGGTTATTATTGTTTACGACCCGTGAAGATCTGAGAGCGAATAGGTCTTCAGCAGCCCATGCTTGCCGTAAAAAGGCGACAATGCTCGTCGTAAGAGGCCATGTTACGACGTAAATTGTAATAAAAAGGTAAACTGTAATACTTGCAGCAAATTGTAATAATTTTGACGTAAATTGTAATAACAACGTAAATTGAAATAATATTTGACGTAAATTGTAATACGCAAATTGTAATAAAAATTGACGTAAATTGTAATAATCTCTACTTGCAGTAAAATGTAATAAATTCTTACGTAAATTGTAATAACCTTACTACCGTAGTGTCCAAGACGCCAATTGACTAGAAATGATCTTTGTCAGTTGAGCTTGTGTTTCACATGTACAATTCGAGAAATACTGTGTATGATGACAAACGTACAAAACTGTTAAGTTAGGGATGGTTGGTATAGGCTTTATCGTACAATCGTCATTAAAGGGTTGTATCAACATAGTGAAAGACATTTATTGGAAGTGATGTGATGTTTGTGGCATGCTATCATCTACGAAGAAGATACTACCATCTGCGTAGAAAATACTATCATCTACGTAGAAGATACTCTCATCTACGTAGAAGATACTTTCATCTACGTATATGATAGTATCTTCTACGTAGATGATAGTATGCCATCTAGATACTATCGTCCACTTACAAACTTTCATCTACGTACATGATACTGTCATCTAGAGTATGTAGAAGTGCAGTCATATATGTGATACCAACGACATAGAGCTCACATTTACTGTCATTACATACACACCTACATGCGCGCGCACACACACACACACACACACACACACACACACACACACACACACACACACACACACACACACACACACATACATACGTACATACGTACATGTATACACACATATAGTGTTTGTGTGGGGGTGTTTTTGTATGGGTATGTAGTGTGTGCAACACGTGTTTGTGTCTGTATCTCTGTGTGTGTGTGTATTTGTGAATGTATGTGTATGCGTGTGCGTGCGTGCGTGCATGTGTGTGTGTGTGTGTGTGTGTGTGTGTGTGCGTGCGTGCGTGCGTGCCTGTGTGTGTGTGTGTTTGTGTTTGTGTGTCTATGCTGATGAGGCCCAATCTGAGGTTTCTTAGATAGTAACTAGTCTTTTCATCAGAATTTTAACAAAGTATGTTGTAATTTCATTACAGTGCTTGTTGTTTGTTGGAATTACTTTAATCCTCTTAAACCCCCAGATGAGGTTATGCTTTCAGGGGATTATTGTCCGTCTCAAATTAGTGATAAAAAATGAAAAACGTATTATCTACGAAGAATATACTTATGTCTTTGTTGGACATACTTTTCTCTACGTAGAAGATACCTTTATCTAATGTATTTGCTACATTCTAATTCGTATATCTACAGGTTTGTGTTTCTATTTTATCTTTTAAAATATCTTACTTTGTTCATTTGTTACATTTTGCATAACCTTTAATTGCTCATATCAGCATTTTTGTGGGACCTCTCACAAAGTAGTGTCACTCATCTTTCACTTGGAACTATATGTAGAAGTACACACACACACACACACACACACACACACACACACACACACACACACACACACACACACACACACACACACACACACACACACACACACACACACACACACACACACACACGACACATACATACATACATACATACATACATACATACATACATACATACATACATACATACATACATGCATAAACACATACACAAACACACACATACATACATACCTATGTGTGTATGTGTTTGTATGTATGTATGTATGTATGTATGTATGTATGTATGTATGTATGTATGTATGTATGTATGTATGTGTGTGTGTGTATACTGATGAGGGCATAGTATCGGAGATAAATATAATTTGGTTTCTTAGTTAGTCACTATTCTTTTCATTGGAATGTTAAGATGGTATGCTATAACTTCAATATTGTATTACAGTGCTTGATGTTAGCTGGAATTATTTTAATCTTCTTAAACCCCCAGAGAAGATTATCCTCTGAGGTAATTTTTGTCCGTATATATGTCACAAACTAGTGATAACTTATGAAAAACGTAATTATCTGTTTCGAAAATTATGTACCGCATTATACGTGAGGTACCAAATTTGGTATCAAGGTTGCTTGGCGCAATCAATCAACGATTGTCGAGTTTAGAGTACTCTTCGTATAAGGTCAAAGAGAATATTTACGTTAGTGACAAAACCCTTTTCATTATAGATTTTCCATCCTTTCAATTTTGATCAAAACAAATATATTTCAGCAATAATTGATTGCAACAAATTTTATTATACATTCTGATGCTCTTTGAAACTCAACAAGACATGCTCGAAGATACCGGATATTATTTTTGTATGCTTTGAATTATGATTTCGTGCCGTTATCATGATGGATTCTGTTTTTGTTGTTGGGGCAAGGAGTTATTATCCCAGCAAAAGTTGTCAGTAAGTTGTTGTTAGTTCTTCATGACATATGAAAGGAATCCAGACAGTTACATTTATTCATTTATTTCATTAAATATACTTCTTGTTATGAAAGGAAATATTTTATGCTATATTAATTATCCATATTGTTAATCATATATTGCTACAAATATTGCATAAGTTAACATGGTTTGCATTTATTTATTATTATTTCTTTATCTGTGAGAAGTTCACAGAGATCGAGAATACACAATATCTAATAGTATATGCAATGTAGGTAAAAAATATCCACGCCCCTCTTTTGATATTAATAAAAACATTGTATATAATGTTATGTATTAAGTATTCTCCTTTCCCATGCATGGGAACTCTATGCTGCATTTGCTGACGACTGTTTTTTTTCATTTGACATTGCACAGGAGATTTGTCACTCATTTGATGTATTTGAATTCTTCGTCAAAATATAATACAAAACACACAGAGTATTTCTCAAATAAATAAGAAAACTAAGTTCATTCTAGCAATTAATCCTCTTCTGGACAACCATAGAAATGAAATTCCAATGCGTTTATATATACATATAATTATACAACAATTCACGATAACGACCTCAATCCTCCCCCACACCCATACTTTAATGACAATTGTACGATAAACCCTGTACCAATCCTGACAAGGATAGGTTCTAGTCATTTAACGCCTTTGACACTAAACTTATAAGGTTATTACAATTTACGTAAAAAGTTATTACATTTTACCGCAAGTTGAGATTATTACAATTTACGTCAATTTTTATTACAATTTGCGTTAAACAATAAACAAACAAACAGAACAAATACTATTGTTTACAAACTGAAAACTGGAAAATGTATTTTGAATGTTAAATATAATCTAACCTCGTGTCTTTTGATATAAAATATTTCAATACTCGCTCATAAAAACTTTAAAATTCTTCGGCAAGCCTAGGAGTTTTAACATTTTATCGACACTTGTTTTTTATATGTACGTACCATCGTCGTTGATGATGGTGACCTGACAGATGGCGATGTTGCCGATGGCGATGTCGTCCTCAGGCTCGACGGTCATTTTCACAAAGAAGAACTCATCTGGTTCCCATTCACAGTCGTCAACGATCTCAATGTAGATCTGGCGGAGCATTTCATTTTTGGCAAATTTGACTTTCTCGTCAAACGGCTTGTAGTCTTCGCCAGCCAGAGCAGTACCATTGATGGTTTCCACTCTGACAAAAGGAAGTTTATGTCATTCACAATTTGGTTGGGGTTGAATCGCAACGTGGGCTCCTTAAAGAGGCAAGAACATTACCTGCTACTGGAACAAGGTTACTGTGATACTACCGTTGTCAACAAAATGATATTTTTTAGAGAAAGGTAACGCAAATAATCGGATTACTTCTGACAGACCAACGGTTAAATTTTGGTCGATTCGAGCCGATGAACCACTTGGCACCCGTAACCCCTAGCAACGTTACTAATGAACAATGAAACTGAATGAAATACAGATATTGTCACTTCTCTGATTTAACGTACAGACCACTTTAATTTTCCGTACCTCTTATTCGTCACTTTAAAACACACCCACCAACGGGATGTGTTCAATATATCATTAACATTATTGTCCATGGAATTCGACTGCCCCATCCAAAACCATGTTTCACTCCACCATCCCCCGATCCTTTGTAAACCAAATGTAGTATGTTGTAGGCAGTAACATATCTGAGAGAGAGTTTTGATATTTTGGAACCTTCCCTTTAAAAAATGCTGGATCCGCCCTTGCTATTATCATCGAACAACATGCCATGGACGTTTGTTGTATAACTCCATTTTACGTACCTCACAGTGACAGGGACGTCCAGTTTGCCATGGCGACGGATTCCAATTCTGACTTTACCCTCGTTTTCCATGACTGCAACAGCTGCGGCGGTGAACTCGACGACAGGTTTGCGTCCCCCATCACTGTGGTCGACATGCTTCGTGATTGACTTAGAATGACTCTCCCGTTCCTCCTCCGGCAGCTGGATACGCTCGTACAGCTAAAGATACAGGGACACACGGGCATCAGTTTAATAAGCAGATCAGGAATACTGGGCGGTTGGTATCTTAATCATAACTGGCATACCTTTAATTGGTACGTTTACGTGTAGATCCACATCGGGTAGCAGGTGTTATGTTTAGGGTTGAGTCTGTTGAATTGGCCTCTGGACTGATTTAACTGATCTGATGAATTCATTCCAGTTTATATACATTGTGATAGACATTTAGGTTGGTATATCTCATCCATGGAATTCACCATCTTACGTGATAAGATACACTGTGGAATAAACATCTTGTTTGGTTAAACTCGTCTGAGGAATTCGCGAACTTGAGTGATTAAATACACCTTAGGGCAGACCTCTAGTTTGGTTTAACTCGTCTGCGGAATTAGTCAACTTTAGTGATTAAATACACTATGGAATAGACATCTAATTTGGTTTAACTCATTTGGGGAATTAGCCATCTTGCGTGATTAAATAAACCGTAGAATAGACATCTAGTTTGGTTTAACTCATCTGAGGAATTAGCCAACTTGAGTGATTAAATACACGATGGAATAGATCTCTAATTTGGTTTAACTCCTCAGTGGAATTCGCCATCTTGCGTGATTAAATACACCGTAGAATAGACATCTAAACTGACGTCCAAAGGAAACTTTACCAACTGAAAATATAAATTTCAGACAAAGTATAAATTTGTTTTCGATGAAGTCTATCTAAAACACATTACCTAAATACAACAATAGTGTATGCAGAAAATGTTAATCGTCTGTTACATGTTTGCGAGATAACACGCGAAAAAGTGAAAAACACGTGCACAACGGACAACTGCAAATGCACGTGCGGGTAAGGGTATAAAACGATTGCAACGTCAGACATCCACAGTGATAAAAAAACACAAAAGAAATGCCACGACTCACAGTCGAACAACGTGAACGAGCCTTGGGTATGGTACAGATGGGAGCCACCCACGCCCATACTGCACGAACCTTCGGTTGCTCCCGTGTTGCCGTTACCAACTTGATGCAACGTTACAGACAGACAGGGCGGACCGCTGACAGGCCAAGAACAGGCAGACCCAGGGTGACCACGCCCCATGATGACCGGTACTTGCGTACCTTGCACCTCCGAAATCGCTTCCTGACACTGACGTCATCGGCGACAAATGCCTTAGGTCACAGGGTTAGTCGACAGACAGTGGCCAGGAGACTCAGGGCTCATGGAATCAGGGCTTTTAGACCATACAGAGGACAGCTATTGACAGCGCAACATCGTCATCTGCGATTGAGATGGGCCCGGACTGTACGACGTTGGCAACGACGTGACTGGCAGAGGGTTGTCTTTACTGACGAAAGTTGATTCTGTATGTTTAGGGCTGTTGGAAGACAACGTGTTTACCGCCGAAGGGGTGAACGAACGGCGGCGTGTTGCGTGCAGGAGGTCGTACCATATGGTGGAGGGAGTGTCATGGTGTGGGGAGGGATCTGTGGGCAGGAGAGGACACCGCTGGTCATCGTTGACGGAAACTTGACAGCTCAGCGGTACATGGATAACATTCTTCGTCCAGTTGTCCTACCATTTCTCCAACAGCAGCCACGTGGTGTCATTTATCAGCATGACAACGCTAGAGCCCATACAGCCAGAATTGTTACAAACTTCCTCGCAGCCAACAATGCCAACGTCCTGCCGTGGCCTGCACGCTCACCCGACATGTCCCCCATAGAACACCTCTGGGACTTGATGGATCGTCGTGTTCGACAACGACCACACTCTCCAGCCAACCGGCAAGAACTGATCTTGGCCCTCCAAGAAGAATGGCGTCAAATCCTACGTGACCTCATCAGACGACTGACTTTTTCTGTGCGTCGAAGAGTTTTTGCGTGGTCACACATGCTACTTATGACTTGTTATTGAACGTGAGCGATTGTTTATGTACTCTGCCTATTGTCCATGATTCTGAAAGATCGAGTTTTGTACCACACCCAACTTTGGGGGGCTCTGACGTCATTCTCGGTCGCGGTATGATTGTCATTTTCAGTGTTGATTATGTTGATATATTGATCTTCTCAATACACTTAACTTCATGCATGTATGTTTTGTTGTTTTTGAGCCAGAGTGATTTCAAACTCTGGTAAAGTTTCTTTTGGACGTCAGTTTAGTTTGGTTTAACTCATCTGAAGAATAAGCCAACTTGAGGGATTAAATACACGATGGAATAGATCTGTAATTTGGTTTAACTCATTTGAGGAATTCGCCATCTTGCGTGATAAAATCCACTGTGAAATAGACATCTAGTTTGGTTTAACTCATTTGAGGAATTCGCCATCTTGCGTGATAAAATCCACTGTGAAATAGACATCTAGTTTGGTTTAACTCATTTGAGGAATTCGCCATCTTGAGTGATAAAATCCACTTTGGAATAGACATCTAATTTGGTTTAAATCATTTGAGGAATTCGCCATCTTGCGTGATAAAATACACTGTGGAATAGACATCTAGTTTGGTTTAACTTATCGGATGGAATTCGCCTTCATGCGTGATCAAATATACGATGGAATAGATATCTGGTTTGGTTTCACTCATTTGAGGAATTCGCCATCTTGCGTGATTAAATACACCATGGAATAGACCTCAAACCCGGTTTAACTCATCAGAGAAATTTGCCAACTTGCGTGATAAAATCCACTATGAAATAGACCTCTTATTTGGTTTAACTCATCTGAGGATTTCGCCAACGTGAGTGATTAAATACACCGTGTTACTGACCTCTAGTTTGAATGTATGTAAATACAGTAATTACATACCGACATTAGACCCTCGTAACTCAAAACCTGCTGTGTTACTCAACATAACATTATATGTCATTAAGTAAGTAGATCTGGTCGTTCCCATTGGTGTCTTGTGTTCAGGATACTAATTAACTAAGCGTACATGATTTAAAGTAATGTCAGATGATGGGGACATATGAGTGAGTGAGTTGGTTTAACGCCGCTTTGAACAGTAATCCAATTATACCACAGCGTGTCAGCTTAATGTGGGAGAACAGCCCGAAGTGAAGCAGGTCTCAGACGTTTAACACTTTGGTGAAACCCACGAGCACGGGTATGGTGCTGACAAACCTAGAAACATAATCGAGGCGAACAGGGATTCGAACCCACGACCATAGGTTTCTGGCGTGCGCAAAGGACGCAACTCTGTAAGCGAATTGTGGTACCTTAGATGACTGGTCCATCAGTCCTAACGATTGCATGAGACTACCATGTACTCCATTATACATACACATATATGAATACAACAGTCAACCGGACAACCATATTGCTACCAGTATGTTAATTGTCTTACGTCCAATTCAACGGTGGATGTTTTGTTGTACGGCTGTTATTTAACCTCTTTTGCAAGATTCACACCACAAGTATATATAACGGATACAAATAAGCTAAAAGAAGCGTCGGAAATGTTATAGTCAAGTTTCTTCTCACATTGTAATACACAAAATGAAACAATGCTAATAACACCTTATATAACAAACCTTTCTTCTGCAGCGGAAAGTATTTCAAAAGAAGAACAAAATACTCGCTAAGGTTTCATTGGGTCAATGTATATGATCCATATACACAGTAAATATAAAGAACCAGCGTTACTAATGTCACCATTGGAGAGAGAACAGAAACTGTGTTTCTAACCATGAAATGGAATACACTGTCCACTAAAATAATACCCAAAAACAGAAGCATTTAAAAAACAAAATACAGGAAATTACGAAATATGGGTATTTGCACGAAATGTCGTGTGTTTCGTAATTAATAAAACCAGACGTTTTAAACCAAAAGGTCACAAATTAACGAAGTCGTTGAAACCTTTGAACACAAAAAACACGAATAAATGTAGGATGCAGAAGTGATTTCGACTTAAACGATCAGAAAACAGATAAACATGTGCTATGTTTATACCAGATGCATATTGATTCGGCGTCCAAACATCTGTTAGTTTTAAATTATCATTATCATTATCGAATGTTGAACACATGGCGTACATTTAGTACAGTGTCCAATCTCGAATGGAAACATGTAATAGATTTTACTTCAACTATGCTTATTGGACTATTATTCTGCTGTGTTTTAGTATGTTACGTTTCATGTCTACACACTGCAAACAAAAGTTTCAGAGAAAACAGTTTATAATCAACTGTCATATTGCAACTGTCTTCTTTGCAGTTGGCAATCTGTGGTGTTGGGTTTCCTTTGGCCAGAACACTCTAAATAGTAAACACAACCCAACATTTCTAAATCGCAAACACACAGGGTCATTTTAGCATGCTTTGCAGTATGTTCGTATTAAGTGGAAACTGAGGTTAACATTAATATAATAATTACGTTATACGTGGTAGGTTAAATAAGTAGATCTGATAAATATGGCAAAGAAAGCTTTATAACTGCCATATAACGTGTCTTTATAACTAGATCTAAAACTATTTATATTACACGAGACGGTATTACTGAAGATGAAAAGAATCATTTAATTATTTATTTCTGCAAATTAACGAAAGAAATAGCATTAGCGTGTAGTGCAATCCTAGTGTAAGGCTACAATACCCCTACATATGCGTAGGACGAATGAAGCATGGCATATCGACATCGTTATTGACATTGTGTACAAGATTGTAAGACTTCGATCAATTGTGCGCGGAGGATTTAGTTTCGTTGGTCATACTGTGTCTGTAAGTGTACATTGTGCAACAGGTTTACATACATTCTGCATAGTTGATAGCATTTGACGAGACTCCTAAATCACACATGCACCAATGCAACTATTTAGATACGCTGCCTTGGATTACACTGGCTTTTGAGTCAACTGGTTGGAGACATTTATCTCATGATCATGCAATACCGATACAAGAGACATTCATGAAAATGTTCCAAGCCTTAGTTTGTTATCTAACGCTACCAATCGCGATATTCCAGTAGTAACATTTTTGTTCCTTTACTGGTCATATTTCACTATTTCCATCTGATGGATCAGTATCATCCATCTGTATCTCGATGGTTACACATCGCAATATCTACGATATCGCGATGGTTCAACATCACCCATCTCTATCTCAATGATTCAACGTCATGCATCTTAATCTATTTCGATGGTTTGACATAATCCATCTCTATATCGACAGTTAAACATCATCTTCGTGTAGTAGGGGATGAACACCGTGTCTTTTTTTTCTCACTTGAGAAATATATTTTTTACAGAAATATTATAAAGGTAATATTACGTTTGCAAATTTATTTAACTCCTGCTATATTAATGTACTACGTTTGATAGCTTTATATTTATGTAAATTATTTAAAATGACATCGTCAAAGAGGTAACAGTCTGGACATGTGACCTAAACTACAATTTATCTTACTGTACTGTTGGCCATGTGGCCTGAATTACGAAATAAGCTTGATTAATTGATCATTCATAACTCTCTCTCGACGGTTACATATCCCCAATCTGGTTAAGCATCATCCATCTCTTTCTATCTCGAACTTTAAACAGAATACATATCCATTCATGGATTGTTCAACATCATCCATCTCTATCTCGAAGGTCAACATCATCCATCTCTTTCTATCTCGAACTTTAAACAGAATACATATCTATTCATGGATTGTTCAACATCATCCATCTCTATCTCGAAGGTCAACATCATCCATCTCTTTCTATCTCGAACTTTAAACAGAATACATATCTATTCATGGATTGTTCAACATCATCAATCTCTATCTCGAAGGTCAACATCATCATTCGCTTTCTATCTCGAACTTTAAACAGAATACATATCTCTTCATGGATTGCTAAACATCATCCATCTCCATCTCGATGGTTCAACACCTTCCGATTCTATGGTCCGGCGTTTTCACGTTCTCGTGATGTGGCTTTACAAGTCTGCCATGGTGATACTACAAGGTGCACAGAGTGAGGGAGAATTCAAGTAAGGATGCATGCGTCTACCAACAGTACAAACAAAACTAAACGGAAGAGGAGACATTAGAATGCAGGTTACATACCTTTCGATCAGCTAACTGTCCAGAATCAGAACAAAATAATTCAAATGCTTTATTCTAAAGCACATGTGAAAGAAAACTGCACAATAAGCTGTTTTAAATCTAAAAAGCAAGGGAAGGCATAGCTGATTATAGAACACTATATATTGTCATGAAGATAACTATATATTTATAATTGACATGTGTTATGATATCTGTGTATCATGTAAAAAGAATAATCCCCTGCAACCATTAATTTAAATTGTTTGATAGGCATTACTTAGAAGTTGACGGATGACAAGAAAGACACAATTTTATGGATAACAACTTCTGTAATACTGTGAAAAGCGACGTTTCGGTATAGATCCTTAACCCGTTGTCAAGCAAGACTGTCTTTCTTGACAACGGTATAAGGATCTATACCGAAACGTCGCTTTTCACAGTATTTAAGAAGTTGTTATCCATAAAATTGTGTCTATCTAACCATTTTAATTTAAGTTAAAATGTTATTATGCAGTATCACATGTTATTCAGTCGTTTTTCAAAACATTTTCACAGATTAGAAGACAACATATACATGTAAGATAAAGTTACACATATCTTTACATTCCAACAAAACTGTTACTGTCATGCCAACATTAAATAGCATAGAAGAGAAGGCAGTTATTCTGATTTGTTAACAGTAGAGAAATACATTTGAGGGATACAAAGTTTGACAAAGAGTTACAGAATTATAGTGGCACCTTTCGAATGTTGATTGAACATACATTCTTTACCTCAGTATAAACCCGTGTCGACCGTATCAGACACGAGAACACATGATCATTGTAAATTATGATTGCTGAAGACATATTGCTCTGGGGAAAGGCGTGATTGACGAGACAAATGTCACACTACAAATAGAAAAGCACTAACAACATTACCGTGAGTCACAGGTGAATGTGAACAAAGCGTGATCGTTTACGTGACGATGCCAGTATCGAGTGGAGTGGTTGTTTGTAATGGATGTTAATAAAATGCACGATGAACATCTTACGATCAGTTCAGTGACAACGAGCTTGGACTTTACATAAACGAAACTGCAGATGGAGTTTTGAGAGATGTTTTATTAGATTAAGGCACAGTAGTGTGATATGTAAACATTATTTTAAGATATTGATGATCGCAACAGAGACTTTTCAAGACTGAAACATGTGACAAGTGTCTTTATTACAAAATATCATTTTTATGCACAATATATACAACTCAAAAGAAGAACGTCATATTTTTTCATATTACTATATAGTTAACCTGTCAATCGGCCATGGCATGACATATTAACTATAATTTGCTATGAATAGATAAAGCACAAGAAGCACACCGGAGCTTTTCATATGCCTATAGTTAATCTGTCATGTCAAGTACCAGACACCCTAGCTTTTCATATGACTATAGTTAATCTGTCATATCATGTACCAGAAACCCGACCTTTTCATATGACTGTAGTTAATTTGTCATGTCATGGCAGATTAACTGTAATCATATGAAGAAAGCGGGTGTTCTAAAACATCTTTTGAGTAGTATATATTCTTTTTTCACTTTAAGTAATCATGATGTAAAGAAACTCTACTTGAGCGTGCAGCGCAAATGTTTCGGCCTGTTATGTATTTGTTTTAAGTCACTAAGAATGCTACAGTGGATGGGGTAAAGGGGATAAGGTGTTAGCACAAGGGGGATATGAGACACAATGATCCATGTGTGAACCCGAACACACCAACGAGGTCCACTGGACACCTCACTGTCGTCACATGTCTCCCATGGTGATGAACTATTCTTACCCGACACAATGCCTAGCTGTACTTACGTCTTGGAATGTGGTTAGAACGCGGGGGACAAGCTTCTTTCCACCAGAGAAGAAACGAGTGGCGTTGATTCGGTACCAGCCACGGTTATGGGAAGTGTTTTCTGCTATCTTCTTGGCTGCAATTTTGGCTGCTTCTTCTTCTGGAAGTTCATCAATATGACCTAATTCCTGCGAACATCAAAGCAACATCATAATCAATGTTAACTCCACTCGTTACAATGTATCATTATATGTACTCATCCACGTGTCCAGATATACATATATTCTTGTCTTCATCTGACCTTACCGTATAGTTCTGTACCAGCACAAATAATGATACGTGTGAATGAGTGAGCGAGTTGAGTTAAAGAAAGGTATTCCAGTCACGGCATTTCATCTTAATGTGGGAGGAAAGCCCGAAGTGATGCCGATCTCAGACGAGCACGGGTATGGTGCCGACAAACGTAGACACATTATCAGGGCGAACCGGGATTCGAACCAACGATCATAGGTTCCTGTTGTGCCGAAGGAACGTAACTCTGCACAGCGAACTGCTGCTCCTTAGACGACTGGGACAACGTGCTCCTAATAATGATACGACGAAGCATTAGCATTAGCAATGGCCTTGGCATTGGCATCATCATTAGCATCAGAATTACTAAATGTCGAAACCTCTCGTAGACTTCGGATGTATACCATGAAATCCCGTTCACATCAACCTTGTATGGACATCGTTTCTCACAAGGAAAGGTCTCTTCGTGATGTACATACTTATTCGAATTACATGTCTACGAAACACGACGAGGACACGAAAGGATCATTTTCTTGTTTCTGACATGGAAACATGCCTATTTTGTATATAATATATATAGTGTCAGTAATGGAAGAGGAGATATCTTCAGCTGTTTAATGTCATATGTTATATACATTTGTTTGAAATTATTCAGCCACAAATACAGTTATACTCACAATACCATCACCATAGACATACACATTGATGCAAATTTGATACAGTTTGGATGCGTTACCTCAGCCAAGGACAGAATTCCACATTCATTGATGTACCTTTATACCCTGGCTTTAGGATATCACATTCTTGGACGCATCCTTCGCTTAAATAAAGCGACAAAATCTCAGAAATCTAAAGCATTGTACGATTCCATTGTACGATTCTGATTATATCATGAACATGTGTTTATGAATCACTATAGTAATGATACCAGGTGTCCGCTGTACCAGAGAATTTCATATCCATCGATATATATTCCATGTATTACTTCACACATAATGACGCGTGATTGATGTTTTATCCTGCCTGTACTGTCGAGAGTATTACAACCACTGTGTGAGTGAGTGAGTTGGATTTAACGCCGCTTTTAACATTATTCCAGTTACATCACGGCGTGTCAGACCGAAGTGATGCAGGTCTCAGACGTTTACCACTTCGGTGAAACCCACGAGCACGGGTATAGTGCTGACAAACCTAGAAACATAATCGGGCGAACCGGGATTCGAACCATAATCATAGCTTTCTGACGTGCCCAAGGGACGCAACTCTGCACAGCGATTAACGGCGCCTTAGACGACTGGGCTACCCGTGCCCACCAACCACTATGCGTGTTCCAGCAACGTTGAGTCATTACTTAAGGTGCACAGTCTACATCCATGAGGGCGAGTCCCTGTTTATTACCTTAGCCAAAGACAAGAGTTCAGCATCTCCATGGACATTCTGTGCAGAAGTAGATGGCCCAGCTTGTCCTTCCTCGGCATCCTTATCCTCTGAAATAGCAGAGAGCTTCCAATCAGGAATCACGTGATCACATCCACATATTATGAATGAAGCGTCGTGGCGTCTTGCAGCAACAAGCTCAAGCATTTTAGCAAGCATACACACACGGATCATTACATTGAAAAAAAACCCCGTTTCAGTAAGATGGTAGTATGTAGCCTTAGTGTTTTAACAATCAGGTTTTAGAAGGAATATGAGTTTACATGTATTAAAGTAAATTTTTTATTTATTAGTATTTTGATCTAACTATAATATAAGAGAGGAACTAGTTACAATGTTTACATCACAATGTGAAGGTATCGTTTCTAACACACAAGGAAAAAAGGGGAAAAACCAACAATAATTAGGAAAAAGAAATAATGATTAATAGGATATCAACGGGAGAGGTACACTGTATGTACAAAACAGCTACAAATACATTCCATTGTCGATATAATGGGAAAAAACAACATTCCGGGTATTATGAAGATATTGATGGGGAATGCTTTATAATCAAAGAAATTGTTAATAATATAAAGCCTTCAAAGCACATGGTTGCGCCAAGAAATATGTGCATTCAAGTAACTGTAACGTATTCGTTCTTGTCATGCACAACGTAGAAGTAAAATGCAATGCAAACGCATATATGCTACCTTGGGGTTCTGACACTCTTTGTCATACAGGGTTTGGGCAATGCAGTCTGATTTGATTCAAAAGGACATAAATAATTTATAATATATAATATACTGACAGCCAAATGAAACTTGAAGTTGAAAGTGGGATTGCCAAAACATAAACAGACACAATCGATAAAACCAATTGTTGTATCATAGCTTCAACACAACCGCACTGTCATTCGTGTATGTGTATGTGTGTGTGTGTGTGTGTGTGTGTGTGTGTGTGTGTGTGTGTGTGTGTGTGTGTGTGTGTGTGTGTGTGTGTGTCTGCTTGTACTAGTCCGGACTGATACTGATTAATAGTGCCAGCCCACTGAGATCTCATGCCACAGTTGAACATGAATACCCCACTCAGACACAGTATACTGACTCCCAGCCGACCAGTCCTTCTGGCCCCATAATGTAGAGCGCAAGGCAAAGTAACAACAAGTACCATCTTTTTACGTCGTTTGGTATGACGCGGTCGGGGATTGAACCACCAACCTTCCGCTCTCAAGACAGACGCTTCATCCACTAGACCAGGGAGGTTGTCTATAAAATCGGTACACAGGTGGCATGAAACGTAGACAGAGAGAGTCATAGGTGTGACGGAGACATGAGCAACGCCATCTTCCCGAGGCAAGGGCGTTAACTGACGTTGAAAGACCAGTTTCAACCCTTGACGAACTTCCCGAGGCAAGGGCGTTAACTGACGTTGAAAGACCAGTTTCAACCCTTGCCGAACTTCGCAGGAATTTCTGTGATCGACCGTAGCGCCACCAGTGGCTATTACGAGTTATGTCCCTTCTATGCCACTTGTATTGGATAATACGATTCCTCCTCTCACATCTCTTGCATTTGCTTCAAACAAAATGGCGGCGCCCAAGCAAGACAATCTGATCGATGATCTTACCTCGAGAAGTACATCAAATCACATGGGCATCTTGATTAAAAACATGAACAGATTTCAAAAAAAATATGTGTCATCGCCCAGTTGACGGTAAAGACCTTTTGCAAATCCTTCAATTGACCGAAATCTGCACGTTGAAATCCATTTTGTTTTCGATCCGGATGTCGATTTCGTTACGCGATTTTGATTGGACTATGTATAGACTCGTTAGTCCAGCCAAAATGTAACTCCATAATTGCAGCCTAGTTCGGCAAGGGTGGAAACCTAACCTTTACAGTCAGTTGACTCCCTTGCCTCGGGAAGATGGAGCACCCATGCAGCGACGACCTCCGGGTATTCCCTTGTTGCCGTCATTATCTTGATGCAGCGGTAAAGTTAGACATCGGACATGCTAAGAACGGGTAGACCGCGTACACACCATGACGACTCGATTCTTCGGAATCGTCACCAGCGGCAAATGCGTTTGGTCATAGGCTGAGCCGACAAAAAGTAACAAGGAGACTACAGCGGGTATCCGAGCAGTGCAACCTCGTTGACTGAGATTGGCCAAGACTGTTATATATTGTCGCAATTTCAGGATTGGTGGATATGGTTTTACTCCGCTTTAAGCAATATTCCAGTAATATCGCGGCGTGGGACATCAGAAATGGGCTTCATTCATTGTGCCCATGTGGGGAATCGAACCCAGGTCTTCAACGTGACGAGCGAATGCTTAATCCACTAGGCTACCCCACCGTTCCCGACAGGTCCTCATCCCTGGTCTACATATAAAGAGCAGACAGCAGACAACGAGTGTGTCGCCATAGGGATGAACACATGGACAGTTGTTGCGTGCAAGAAGTCGACCCGCTTGGAAGCAGCGGTGTCATGGTATCGGGTAAGTCATAATTGATGGAAATTAGAATTCTCGGAGGTGCAGCGGCGAGGTCCTTTGTTCTTATTTGCTGCCTTTCATACAGCAACTGGCAGAATGTCCTCTGTTCCAGCATGATTACATCACGGACCGCACAAACCGTATTGTAATGACTTAACGCCATCAGCTTCATCGTGCTATCATGGCCAGCACGCTCTCCAGACACAGAATAACTCGGGGATGATCCGGTTCGACGTGTTCGACGCAGACCAAACCGTCACTTTTCACGATGACGACACCAACGATAACTGTATGGCTACCATTTTCTGTTTCTGTTTTGAACAATTGTTTTTTTCTGTGATGTCATTTATACCTCTTGAAAGGTTTCCTTTGGCAGTCAGTTTATATAATATGTATAAAACCTTCACTGGAAGTATTATCAAAAATGAAAGATGTAAAGACAAAACAAACAGAAAAAAGCGACAACCCTTAATTCGGCGAAGTGTATACCCTGAAACAAGAGTAACACTACCTAAACATATAGAAATATAAAAATTGAGAATATTTGAGGATTCTGATGGGGTGTACTGTTTTGCGTAAAACGACTAACAAAAACACCTTAAAGGAACACTAGTGTAAACTATAGATAAGTCAAATGATTAACGTAAAAAATCCATAAAACTGATTAACGTAAATTAAAACGTAATCTAACTAAATTCTCGTGAAAGTCATATCGAGCTAATTCTAATCACACAACAAAGCCAGTGTTTGGTATTTGCAAAAAACGAATTGCAGTAATGAACGAAAGCAGAGCTTGTTGTAGTAATGAAACGAAAGCAGAGCTTGTTGTCTCAATGTTTTCCCTTACAGACATACTTACAATCAGCAGAGAGATGATTTGCACGGACTAAGCCAAACAACAATGACAGCTTAGGCCCCAAAATTTACTGACGACTGACTTGTAACACCCCCATCAAGACCCTCATATTTGTAATGAAATTCAGTATATCAGTTGTTTTTTATGTTGGATTATATATTTTGTTTAGCTCTTAATAAGACAGTGCATAAAATTAACGACATAAATGTGGTTAGTCAAAGCTATATGAACGTTAGAATCATCCCCATGAAGGCTACTTGCATTGGCTAACAGGCTAACAGGCGATGAAAATGCATAATGGTGGATACTACTATGTGAATATTATGGATGATAAAGAGTAAATTACGTGAGGATCAAAAGCAACTTGTGATGCGTGTATGTGACAATCTACAGAATTGGTGAAAATGATACTTCAACACTCGTCAACTAGAAGCCCTCGAACGTGAACATGTTGAAATAACGAGTACAACGTATACGATACAAAAGTACAATGTATGCTGCTATGGGCAAATATTCAAATGTTGTTTTGTTTGTATTTTACAAATATGACAACCATTAGGCCGTCGTGATTAACGCAAAAATGTATTAAAAACTGAAAAGACTTATCCGATTCAGTTCAAAAGAAATGATCATACACGTTAAAAAAAATCATGCGAGCAAATTATTTTAAATTTTTATATACCATACTGCAGCAAATAAAACACACACGTTCAAAACGACTTCAATAACTATCAGAAGCAAAATTTTTCTCAAAGTCACTCCTACACCGACTGAGCTCAGCTTAGTGTTTCTACCTGAGGCATCCTCGGTCGCCTTCTTTGTATACCGCTCTGCAAAAGACAAGCCTCTATTCATTGACACCTGAGAACACCCAGCCGAGGAAAGTGCAGACTGCACCGCCACCTAGAGTTACTAGTTCAAGGTCGGGTTAGGGAGATCAAGGTCAGGTGAGGGAGGTCAAGGTCAGAATTGGGAGGTGAAGGTCATGTTTTAGGTCAAGGTCAAGATTCGGAGGTGAAGGTCATGTTTGGGAGGTCAAGATCAGGACTTAGGGGTGTTGTGATAGCACATGGAGAATGTCATATGTTTCTTTACCTGTTAATGTCGGGGTTTCTTAAGGTTAAGGAGTACTATCAGTCCGGGTAAAGATGGGGAGGTGTGGTAGTTTATATTTCGTGCCATACAATTCCGGAGAAGGTTATGGAACTGATTTCATGGTTACGTTAAAGGGATCATATAACTCAAAGTGAAGTGGTTTCCTATGAGGAACTGGCAGATTCTAGGTGCGAGTTTCAAAACGGCCACAACACGGATGGAGATATATATGGTAATAGGCAATAAATTATTGTCATGCTATTGTGTGAACATTGTGCTTTACATACAAGAAGACATATTAAGTATCAAGTGCTAACGGCGTCATCTATGAAAAGGTATTGCGTTTGTCCAAAGAGAAATGTTCAGCCAAAAACTCAGCCAAAGGAGAAATGGATTTCACCTAACGCTACATGTAACTAGCACGGTCACCGAGAGGCGCTATTAGGAACTACTCAAGACTTCATTGTCCATCAACTCTTTCTTAGCATCAGACATCTCATCAGGCTGATTTGGTAATAAAACTTCAACCGCTTCTGAAAGTATCACGGGTTCACACTGCACCCCACTTTCTTGATGTTCTGGCATTTCTCTACGTGTGACCATAGGTTCTATAATGGCCGGTAAGGAGCAGACAACTGTTCCCTGTCATGTACATGGCACGAAGACTGAACCAGACTTGTTTGGGGTAAAAGGACAACGTATCAGTCAGTTGAAGACTGGAATATGAACATGTGCAATTTACGCTTCACCATGTTGCATTGGTGGAAATATCTAAATACTATACAATACATGTCCATTTGCCAATCTGATATGATATTGAAAAGGATTGGAGCACATAGTAAAGTATACCTCAATTTTGATAGTGAGCTGTCAAAATGGTTGTCGGGCGAGTCTTACAATGTTATCTTACACTGTATTAACACTGTAAGCCTATCGATAATGTCACTATATGGGACATGTTGGCGAATTGAAATGTGACACATTGTGGTATATATATAATAAACATTATTATCGTTACATTAATTTCAGATTTCAAATATTAATATTAATATTTCATTTAGTGCATTGTATTTCAGTCCAGTTCACTATTTTCCTGTTAATTTCAACTGTATCATGGCTATGTGTTAAATATCTTCTGATTGTCCATGATAAAAAACATGCAGGTTATACACATATAGCATGCAATAGAGTTACGGTTGTAATTAATGGAAGTTGTCATAGAACCATTTAACAAATTGATAAATATTATATAGTTTTAAATAGTAACGAAGTTTGGATATTTTACCGTTCCCTAAACCCATACTGGTACAATTTGTTTCTATTGATGGTCGGCCGGTCGGGTAGCCAAGTGGTTAAAGCGTTCGCTCGTTCGATTCCCGACATGGGTACAATGTGTGAAGCCCATTTCTGGTGTCCCCCGCCGTGATATTGCTCGAACATTGCTACAAGCGGCGTAAAACCATACTCACTCACTCTATTGATGGTCACACTGGAGAGTGTTCGCTTATACTATCGCGAGGTAATATTTCCTTTGAAATCGCTGTTTGTGGTATCGAATCTCGACAGATCATGTCATATGGGAAATTGTTTGTTTCCAAGGATACGTTGGACAGAAAGAGAGTATTTTTTAGCAACTTTCAAATTGGTGTATACTTTCTTTTTTTAGAAGTTGAAATATCAGCAGTTCACCAAACTTCGGCGAATCAAATATGGAAAATATGTATAAATAGTGTCAGTTTCATTAAACCGATTCTAAATCAAATTAACTGTTATACTGTTAATAAACTTATCCCTTGTAACTGTAGAGTATTTATCATGATGCTGAATGGTTCTATTGACTACTTTTCTCATTTATTTCAGAATGAAAAATCCATGTAACGTGCACTAATCTATAATTAAATGATATCCTTTATTGACTATCTCTGACTAAGTTCAGGGACAGACAACCGTTCTTTGTTAATATGCGAGAGTCGCAATATTTCATGTTTACAGCCAACACAGAATTATAGGTTAATATTAATAAAAAAATCAATATATTTAAAGGAAACTAAATATAAGGCTTGTTACAATTACTAACTAAATGTGCTTTCAGTGACATCAATAAGTAATTAGGCCCAAGGTTAACTCGTAAGATCGAACATGCAAATATCAACATATATGCCATCGTTGAAATAAAGGAATATGTATGTGACAAAAAGTTTGATTATATACCAGCTCGCACATAAATTCACGTTGTAACAGCTAACATAGATTTTACGTGAATAAATAAAAAACAGAAAATATACCCGTGTCTATAATAGCTATAATTTTCCAAATTCATGTTGGAAATGTGCAAAACAATAACCTGCACGTATATATGTATCTGTAATAAACTTCGAACACAAATGTCTAAAGAGGGACAGGAGATCAAAGGAATGAAGTAAGCTTTAGCGTAACAAATATACAGGAGTCACATGTAATAACGATATCATTTAACCAGAACAACGACTGATATTTAACCCGAGTGAGTGACTGTCATTTAATGCCTCCGTATCTCGTACATATCAGCGTGTGAGGTTGATGTGCAAGAAAGTAAGAACTTTGGCGAAAGCCACGAGCAGGCAAGTGGCGCTGACTAACCAAGAAACGTAATCAGGGCGAATCTGGGATTCGAACCCACGATAATAGGTGTCTGGCACGCCCAAGGGACGCAACTCTGCACAGCGAATTACGGTGCTTTAGGGGAGTGGGGCAGGGTTCATTTAAACTACTGGGCTATCCCTGCCCCTTGTTAAACCCGAACGTAATAAATATGATAAACTTTATTTGCGAATTATATTCAAATTTCTCAAATACGACATTGTACATTATTACATTCCGTTGTGACTATCGCAAAACGTAGGTAAGGAAACCAACTTTGCCATGATCCTAAGTAAAAGAAAGAGATTACTTAAAAATAATTATACAAGAAGGCACTTACCTAAGGAGATGCCAACAAAACCAGGCTCTTCTCGTTTGCTTTTCTTCATACAGAAGTCCTTATCGGCTATGTAGGCGACAACGATCAAGGTTGGAAACATCAGGAAAGTAACAATGGCCTCCCACATATCAACAACGTTAGGGGATATGGCCATCAAGACTATAGCCAGCCACACGTAGGCGAAGATGCAGGTGAAGGCTGTGACGCCAAACACTTTGTAGCTACGGATCCTCCTGATCTCTCCGTCAGGGATAGAAACAATGCAGATGCCAGATATCACCAGCAAGTTAAACGCTGCAGAACCTACGATGGTTCCAGGACCAAGTTCTCCAGCTCTGAAACCATTACCAATGATTTCTATACAGGACAGAAGGATCTCCGGAGCACTAGTTCCTAAGGCCAGAAGACTCAGGTTGGCCACCGTGTCATTCCAAACCTTCACTTCTAGTTCCCTGATTCCTCCTTCGGCTGTTGCATCTGGTACTCGAACTATGGTTGTCTTGCTGGTGATTCTTTCTATAGAGCACATGAACACATCGGCGATGATGGCGACTGCCAGAAAGCACCAGAGCAGGCCGAGTAGGTAGAGGAAGGCACGGACCTCTGGTGCCCAGGTGAACTCGCTGATTACAGGGAGCAGGAGGGCCACATCTGAACAGGTGTAGTTCTTGACGAGTTCTTGAAGCTCCGCCTGGCTGATGGCAGGACTTCCAGTAAAATTCGCCATCCTGGCGTACTTTCTACAAACTCTACCACTGCCCAAACTTTAAATCTGTAAAAGAAATTGTACACATATAAAAGACATATCAAAATAACCACGTTAACTCAGAATACGGTTACCAAACGTTGACTAATAATGTGCATATTTGTTAAGTGCCATCTCCACACCGCAAAGCCATCTCAAACCGCTATGTTACTACCCCGGTCAATGGATCACTGTGCACGCGGCTTTCGTTCTCCGCTCCCTGGGGAGTATACAACCCAAGATGCCTGTGAGTCGCTAGAGGTTAACAGTCACATTGCCATCTCATCCTACCGGGTACCTATTCACTGCTGGTAGAACAGTAACACTTGCCTTGCCAAATAATGACACATGTGCTACAGGTGCTTCAGTGTGTGGCAGGATCGAAGCCCCAGAAACTCTCAGGAGTCAAGCCAGGTCTTAAATGCCACATAACAGCACTATGCTTATTCTGCGATGTCGTAATCGGACTGTGGCAGTTGCGTAATGCTTCAACCCATCTTTCTACTTTGTCGTCAAAATATGTGACGACATAACAACCAGTTTTATCCGGGGTGTATATACAACAATGCAAACTTCCTCATATGAGTTGTATGCTATTCCTAGCGCACAAACTATTTGCTGATAAATAAAGCAACACCATATTTGGTATGAATAACAACACATATTTGTTATATGTACTGTGTGGGTTATTAAATCCGAAATGTAATTGTAGTCTGTGTGTAATTCAAATCTCCCTCGTCCAAGTGCTAGCATAATACGTTATCCTACGTCGCCAAGCTTAGCTATGCAGAATTATTTCTTTAAGAAGTGCCAAAAACTTATGATCATGGGCTGATATCCCAGTTCGGTTTGAGTATGTTTTTGGGTTTGTCGGCTCAAGTACCGTGCTCTTGGGTTTCACCAAAGTGGTTAACCTCTATGACCTGCAACACTTCGGGTTACAAGATCCGGGGTAGAATAGGTCTTCAGCTTCCCATGTCTCGGAAGAGGCGACTAACGGGATCGGGTTATCAGAGTCGCTGACTTGGCTGATGCATGTCATCGTATCCCAATTGCGTGGATCGATGCTCATAATGTCAATCGCTGGATTGTCTGGTCCAGACTCGATTATTTACAGACAGCCGTTATACAGCTGGAATATTGCTGAGTGTGGCATTAAAAAACTAAACCAACCCACAAACAAAGAAACATTTCGAGCTTTCCTCTCACATCAAGGTGACACGCCGGGACTGAAGTACCTTCAGCGGCGTGTAACTAAATACCCCAAGCGGTAGATACATGAGTGTATAGCAAGCTCAGATACTTAATACGTCACCATGTACTGGGTAACACCTCATTATAGCTTCTGAAACACCTGGATAGCTCACGGGTTGATTTGACTGTAAATTAGCAAATTGGGACTCCGTTGATGGTCACAAGGTAGGCATTCGTCAATGTCTTGACGATCATAAATTCCCCTGCTCCGCACATGTAAATAATTGCCTTCGTCATATAGTTTGCCATGTACATGTATGATCGAAATGATCTGTGATTGACAGATGTCATTGTCATTTATAACAATTGCGATACGTAAAAACAGAAAGTACACGAACGGGGATTTTATCAAAGATACATTTCTATTCTATGGGAACATTACGAAATTACGGAAGCGTAGTAGGGCCATGGTGAAATTATTTTTGTCTAAGTATCTCCTACGTAGGACTTATTATCTCCTACGTAGGACTTAGTATCTCCTACGTAGAACTTACTATCTCCTACGTAGGACTTATTATCTCCTACGTAGGACTTACTATCTCCTACGTAGGACTAACTATCTCTTACGTAGGACTTAGTATCTCCTACGTAGGACTTACTATCTCCTACGTAGGACTTATTATCTCCTACGTAGGCCTTACTATCTCCTACGTAGGACTTATGATCCCCTACGTAGGACTTACTATCTCCTACGTAGGACTAACTATCTCTTACGTAGGACTTAGTATCTCCTACGTAGGACTTACTATCTCCTACGTAGGCCTTACTATCTCCTACGTAGGCCTTACTATCTCCTACGTAGGACTTATGATCCCCTACGTAGGACTTCACATCTCCTACCCTACCAAGTCCTACGTAGGAGATAGTTATTCTAGTCCATACTAAGTCCTACGTAGGATATAGTAAGTCCTACGTAGGAGATAATAAGTCCTTCGTAGGAGATACTTAGACAAAAAGAAATTCACCGTGGCCCTACTACGCTTCCGTACGAAATAACTAGCCTACGTAGTTTTTTTTAAATCTTCCTGGTGTAGTCATAGAACTAGAGCGCATGACGTAGAGTCAACATTCCCCTATGCGACCTAATGGCAACACGTGGGCGAAATGTTCTCATAAATGTTGAGATAAAAGAGGTGTTGACATGTATATTTCAATGCGGATTTGACGTCAGAAGCACGTGAGGTTGTCGTCATAGCAGTGTTTGGCAGCGACCTAGACAACTTCCTGGTAGCTCGATCGTGAATTGTGACACACCAATATAATGACGGCGTAGTGTTTAAATCGCTCCCTCGTCATGTCGAAGGTCTGGGTTAGATTCCCCAAATGGGTACATTGTTAGAAGCCCATTTCAGGTGTCCGCCGACGTGATATTGAATAGTGATAAGCGGCGTAAAACCGCACTCGCTCACTTTTGTGAATACAAGCGACAAAACCGTTTTGAAACGACTGAATTGAACCTGGTGCTATTTCTAAATACTTTTAAGTTATTTGGCTTTAGCGGCACTTTGAACAGTATTTCAGTTATATCACCATCGATCATAGCATCCGTGCACGATTAAGGGACACAACTCTTCACAGTAAATGACGTCCATAAGGACGAACGGGTCCTCCGTGTCCCCATAAACACATCTAGTGTGAGCATCAGTCTTGAACATAAAACTCGGTCGCTGTGCAAGGAATGTTGAAAAAATAATTGGACAATTTAGCGAAATGTTTCAAGCCTGCATTTTTAATAGATATGATTTATATTTTCTATAATTCTAAAAAAAACTCATTACTTATACCTAAACAATTCTTTCATGATAACGTCTATAATCTCTACCTCTACAGTAGAGGTAGAGCGTCCGCCAAGAGAGCGGAAGGACCGGGGTTCGATCCCCGGCCGCGTCATACCAAAAGACGTTAAATGATGGTACTTGTTGTTACCCTGTCTGGCGCTCGGCATTAAGGGGCTAAAACAAGGACTGGTAGGCTCAGAGTCAGTATACTGTGTCTGAGTGGGGTATTCATGTTAAACTGTGGCATGGTATCTCAGTGTGCTAGCACTATAAATCGGCATCAGTCCGGACTAGTACAAGCAGCCACACAAACACACACACACGTACATGCACGTCGCTATATAAGTGCAATAATCTTGGACGCGACGTTAAACCCAATTTTACCTCACCTCACCTACCTCTACAGCTCACCTGATATGGAGAAAGTTTAAGTTAGTTTCCGCCTCTCTTAACCTAAATGATGTATAAGAAGTGAAATACATTTTATTATCATGTACGGTACATTGCCTTAAGCCAGGGAAAGGTGGAGTACACATGTTGAAATTGACATGATATATACATGTCCTGCTGGGCAATGTATTAACTTCTCTCCTTGGAATGTCTCCCTCGCCCACCCATGACCCACTTCAAAGTAATGAATGATCCCCTTACGCCTCCTATTCATCGTGTATTGTCACAAGACACGTCCACCTGGGGACCAGTCATTGAAACCTAATACCCCATGTTGACTTCATTAGTGAGTGACACGACTACCCTGCACGCAAGAGCACAGCGTCTTTGTGTGTGTAGAATGGGGTACTTAATTGTATATGCAAGACTCGTTCTCAAATTGTAGAATTACTAGATTCCATGGCATTTGTACGTGTGTCTTCACGTAAATGAATAGTTATAATGATGTTGCCATTGTCGTAATTTCGTATAGTTACCCCACGTGTGTCTCTTTTGTTACCCTAGTGACTTCGTGAACACCTGGTGTCATAGTTGACTGTCATTGATCTATTCATATACTTTTCACCGCTGTTTTATTGTTTACGCCAAGTGGAATCTGTTTCGGCGGATTATCGAAACTGGGTATTCTCTTGCGCTGACGTTTCATATTTTCAGGAAGTATATTATTATTTCTGGAACATTACACTTAAATGACACAGACTCATTAATATTGGGAATAGTTGGGGTTAAACCTTTTTTAAACACTTTTTGAGGATAGAAATATGGGTCGGAATTCGAAGCGGTTATTACTTTGTTAACCCCAGGAGCACCGGCGTCGCACAGAAGGCCCGAGGATGGTAAGTGGTGTTTTAGAATCCCGGCCAACCAGAGCCCTCATGAATAATGTTTGGTTCAGTAAGATGCTAATATAATTACGCATTTCGTTGTCTCAGTTGTTTGTCATTGAAACATACAATACTACTTCAGCAACCCATGCGTGCCGAAAAAGGCGACTCTGCTTGTCGTAAGAGGCGACTAACGGGATCGGGTGGTCAGGCTCGCTGACTTGGTTGATGCATGTCACTGATCCCAATTGCGTGGATCGATGCTCATGATATTAATCACTGGATAGTCTGGTCCAGATTCGAGTATTTACAGACCGCCGTCATATAGCTGGAATATTGCTGAGTCCGGCGTTAAACAACAAACCAACCAACTGGAGCCTGCCTTAACATAAGAAAAGAGTATGGTGTGTTCAATGTCATAGCTGTGGACGGACTTGGCGGATGCCGTACGCGATTATTACCGTATGAACAGATTAGGAGTTAGAATGAGCAATTTGCGATTCTATAAACAGCAGTAGCAGCAATGAGCAACTATGTTGCCAGCAGCGAAATATTTAGTTGCTTAAAGCCAAAAAGTTCCCATCCGCTGAGGGATTGAGCAAAGTAAACAAAGAAAAACATTATGGTTTCAATAAACACACTTTAATGTGAAGCACTAAATGAATAAGTGCGTGCACAAAGTAATAAACGGTAGACATTATGCGTCGCCTCTATCGATCGC